TGGCATGGTTTTTTCAAGTTCATCCTTTTTAGGATTGGCTGAGCTTGTTGAATGTGTAGATTATGTCTTCAAAAAATTTGGGGAACTTTTGACTATCATCCAATCTTTTTTCTGCACTAGTCTCTCTTTCCTCCCCTTCAGTAAACCTAATGACAAAAATGACTCTAACATGGACCTTTGATCCTTCAATCTGAGGCCTGAGAACCTATGAATTTTTTCCCAATGTTTTACTCTCTGATACTCACAGTGGATAATTTCTATTAATCTCTTCAAGTTACTGGCTTATTTCTTTATCATCTCTACTACTGAGCCCATCAAGTGACTTTTAAATTTCAGATACTATATTTTTTTCAATTCTAAATTTCTCTTTTTTTCTGTTTCTCTATGGGCAACTTCCATCTTTCCGTTCATTTCAAGGTTGTTTACCTTGAGCTCGTGGAGTGTGATTGTAATGGACGTTTTAAAATCATTTTCTAATAATTGAAACATCTGGATAATTTCAAAATTGACTTTATTGTCTTTTCTCATGGGAGTTGGTCAGATTTTCCTGGTGTTTTCTATGCCAAGTAATACGGGTTTATATCCTGGTCACTTTGAATATTATGTTGTGAATCATTGGGTCATCTTAAATCCTCTGGAGAAACTTGTTTTTTTTTCCCTTTGTTTCTCTGTTTCCAACAGGCAATCAGTCTGGTTGGTTTCAGCTCACAAGCTTTGTCTCACTTTTTGTGACTGGTGGTTCCAATGTCAGTTAGTTTTCAAAACTTTGCTTTTCTACTTGGGTCTGCCCTGCACACACACCCCTCAGGGGTCAGTCTGGGGCCCATGTGGTTCTTTATATTGTAGTTCAGTTCTCAAAGCTCCTTTGGGTCTGTTGCACACATGTGTAGCTTGGGGGTGAGACCAGGACTTGTACTAGTTTATAACAGAATTAGAGGATCCCCATTTAGTCTTCAGACCCCTTTCCCCAGTTCCCCTGGTCAGAGAGATGGAATGGGGTCGGGGAGACTCAATATCTTCAGGGCAGGAGCCAGTTGGAAACCAGGGGTCTTTGGGGCAGAATCAGGAGGGAAAAAAAGCATTTTGAAAGAGTATATATTTGATGGTCTTATACTCCAGTTAATTAATTTAGTCTTATTGTTAGTTTGGAAGAAGTTATAGGTTTGGAGCAAGATAGATACAACAAAGTCCTACTCTATAGCATAGGGAATTGTATTCAATATCTTGTAGTAACTTACAATGTAAAAGAACCTCAAAAAGAATATATGTGATGTAAAAATCAATTAACCAATTGATTAAATTTTCTGTTTTAAAAGACAATCTTATATAGGCAAACATCCTTCAAAAGTAAAAAAGGAAGAAATAATAGAGGAAATGAGTAACAAAAAGCTATGACATACAGAAAAGCATAGCAAAATGACAGAAATGTATCCTTATCAGTAAGTATTTTAATATAACTGGATTAAACTCTACAATGAAAGGTAAAGGTAGCAGAATGCATAATCAAATATAACCCAATTATGTATTGTCTGCAGGAGATTCATTTAAAATCCAAAGAAGAGTTGGTTGAAAGTGAAAGGATAAATGTCCTATACAAATAATAATCAAAAAAGTACTGAGGTGGCTACATTAATATTAGACAAAATATACGTTGAGTCAAAAATCATTACAAAAGGACATTGTATATTGATAAAAGTTCAATTCAAGAAGATGTAACAATTATAAACGTTTACTCAACAAACAGCAGAGCCCCAAAATATATGCATCAAAAAAATTGGCAGACTTAAAGGGAGAAATAGATAATCATACAATAATAACTGGCTATTTCAATAGCCCACTTTCAATACTGGAGAGAACACCTAAATAGAAGAATGACAAAGAAAAAGAAGACTTGAACAATACCATAAACCAACTAGGCCTAATAGATAAATATGAAACCTTCCACTCAACGCTAGGAGGATACACATTATTCTCAAGATTATATGAAATATGCTCCAGGGTGGACCATATGTTAGATCATGAAAAATTCTCACGAAATTTAAAAAGATTGAAAGCATATAAAGTATCTTCTCAAAGTACAATAGAATGAAACTAAGAAATTAATAACAGAAGGAAAATTGGAAAATTCACAGGTCTATGGAAATTAAACAATACATTCTTAAACACCAGCAAGTCCAAGAGATAACTACAAGGGAAATTTAAGATTATTTAAAGGATTTCTACACTGGTGCAGTGGTTAAGACTCTGTCTGCCAATGAAGAGGACAGGTTTGATCCCTGGTCAGGGAAGATTCCATATACCATAGAACAACTAAGCCTATGCGCCACAGCTACTGAGCTTGAGCTCTAGAGCCTGTGGGCCGCAACTACCAAGCCCGTGTACTGAAAACCACGCCTGTGCTCTGCAACAAGAGAAGCCACCAGAATGAGAAGCCCACGCACTGTGAGGAGTAACCCCCCCACTCACCGCAACTAGAGTAAGCCAACACAAAGCAATGAAGACTCAGCACAGCCTTAAATAAATAAATAAAAAATTTTAAATGGTATGAAGAGAGTAATCCATACATATATATGGAAACAAAACATAACATGCTAAAACTTACTGGATACACAAAAGCAGTGTTCACAGGGGAATTTATAGCTGTAAACAACTGTATTTAAAAAAAAAGAATGATCTTAAATCAATAACCTAGATTTACACCTTAAGGAGTGGAAAGGAGAAGGGCAAATTAAACCTCAAACCAGCAACAGGAAGGAAGAAATAAAGATGAGAGCAGAGCTAAATGGAATAGAGACTGGGAAAACCGTAGTGAGAATCAGCAAAACCAAAAGTTGGTTCTTTGAAAAGTTCAGCAGAATTGACAGACCCTTAACTAGACTTGAAAATAAAAAATGAGACAAAATGAAGCATTTTAGTTATATGTGTAACAGTTTAGACCTTTAAGCTTCAACTTTAAGGCCAATTATCTGTTCTTTTCAGGACTTACAACTGATTGAATGGACCCACCCAGATCAATGAAGAGCTTGTTAAAGTCAGTTCATTACAGACTTTAGCAGTATCTGTAAACTCACAGCGACATTTGATCAGTGTTAGATTATACTGACACCTTGACAAAGCCATTACAATATAGTTTTGTTTGCTAATTTATGCTGTATCTTGCTTTCTATTTGATTATTGCCAACACAGAGGAGCTATACTTACTTTTGCAAGATGATGTTGCATCTGAATCATTTTTGTGTATTTTTTCTAATAATTGGTCTGTGGATTAAGTTTGACATCCTATATTGATGATAAGGTCATCTGCAAATGATTCCATTTGATCACATTACTGGCAAATAATTCTAGTTATTACAGCACTTCTTTCTTTTTCTTATCTTACAACACTGGCCAGTATACCTAGTGATATAAGTGATGAGGGTTTCAGGTGTTCTTGGTGATTCTCTGATATTAATACAACTATGTCCACAACTCCACCAGAAACAAGATATTTGCTTTAGTTATGGTATAAATTTTTTATTATCTTAAGGCCATTTCCTCCTATTCCCAGTCTTCAGAGTATTATATTGTCAGAAACAGATTTTGAACTTAATAAAATTCTCCTATGTATCCATTAATAAAATCATCAAATCAGCCTACCAGTGTATGACTTAACATTACAGATTTTGTTACTATTAAGCCACATGTGTTTTTCTGCAACAAAGCTTCTTTTGATGTATTGTATTTTTTAAATTTCAGATTCCTTTTTACTGTCTATATATTTGACTTGAACTTTACCTTTAAAAATTTTTTTTACAATGGGTCCTTCTTGTTTATCTCTGTACATGTTGATCCCAAACCCCTAACTATCTTGCCCACCACCCTGCTTCTCCCTAGTAACCATAAATTCATTCTCTAAATCTGTGAGTCTGTTTCTGTTTTGTAAATAAGTTCATTTGTGTCATTTTTAAAATTTTAGGTTCCACATATAAGTGATGTCATATGATATTTGTCTTTGTCTGACTTAGTTCACTTAGTGTTGTATTTTACTTTGCTATTTCAGCTGGTGAGCAAATACTGTTTTCAAATAATTTGTGTCTATATTCATAAGTAAAATGGCCTTATAATTTCCTTCACTTTTCTAGCCTTATTTAATTTTGAAATTAAACTTACTCTAAATTGTAAAATGTTTTAGGCAACTTTCCTTCTTTTTCTACTCTCTGGAACTACTTTTATAAGATAGGGATTATCTGTTCCTTCAAAGTTGGCAGAACTCCCTTATAAAGCTTTCTGTACCAGAGGATTTTTAGTGTTTCCATTTTGTGGTAACATATCCTATGATAACGGCTTCCCAGGGGTGCAGTGATAAAGAATCCCCTTGCCAATGCCAGAGCTATAGGAGATGAGGTTCAAATCCCTGGGTCGGGAAGATCCCCTGGAGTAGAAAACGGCAACTGACTTCAGTGTTAGTGCCAGGATAATCTCACGGACAGAGAAGCCTAGCAGGCTTCGGTCCATGGGGTCTCAAAGAGTCAGACACGACTGGGCACGCAAACATGCAAGCAAGCATCCTGTGATAAACACATTTTTAATCAGTGTTAATCATATAATTTTATAAAGATAATAAGTTGCTTTTAGCTTTAAACTAATAATTAAGAGAGTCACTATTACATTTCATGTACTTTTGAGTCATTCTATAGAACAGATTGCTGTGCAGTGCTTAATCGCTGAGTTGTGTCTGACTCTGCTACCCCATGGCCTGCAGCCCGCCAGGCTCCTCTGTCCATGGGGATTCTCCAGGCAAGAACACTGGAGTGGGTTGCCATGCCCTTCTCCAGGGGATCTTCCCAACCTGGGGATCAAACCCAGGTCTCCACATTTCAGGCGGAGTCTTTACCATCTGAGCCAGCAGGGAAGCCCATAGAACAGATTATGTAGACACATCTTCTATGTGAACTTGTGGGAAGGTCAGAATGAGTGTGGTCACCCTAGCTTTACTCACGTCTCTGTGCTCTCCTCCCCAGGACACACAGGACGGTTGTTAAAGTCTCTGTGCTTCACCAGTCTCTCCTTCCTGTTGCTGCACATCATTTTTCACATCACGTTGGCGAGTCTGGAGGCACAGCACCGCATCGCACCTGGTTACAACTGTGAGTATGATGGGGCCTTTTTATCATGCTGTGAACGTGCCTAACAACGCTATGTGTTGTGACACTCATAGAAATCTAGGCAACGATTACATTAAAAAAAAAACTGTGGCAGTTTTTGGCCATTTGTCAACCTCATGCATTATAAATATGTACAAAGAAATTCATGTGCCTTGACAGTGGGGTAATGTGAATAACTTAATTAATGCATCTTCAACACATATTAGCTACTAGACTCCAATCTGTATGTAACACACTATGGCTGGGTATAATCTAAAAAAAAAATTGAGATTTACATATAGACTCTAGACATTTCATTAGAGCTAGTGAGATGAGACAGGTACAGTATGTACCAGGATAAATAAGAGTATAAAAGTTAAATAACATTATACAACAGTGACCTCAATCCACTTCTAAAGCATAATGTAAGATTTCGCTCATCTTTAGGGGGAAAAAGTGAATGACGGTTTCTTTTTCAAGCTGGGATTACTTTTTGCTATTCATAATGAAATGATATATCTTACACACATTATATTTTAAGGTTTTGATCTGAAAAATTCAACACATATATGGTTTATCTAGGTAGGATCATCTTTCTAAAATTAATCTACTATCAGATAAATTCTACTCCTGTTTTTGTAGGATGTGTTTGTCATTTGGAAAAAAAAAGGATTTCAAAGAGGTGGAATACAATCCATATGTTTTAAGTTAAACCTGAAGAAACCCTGAGATATTTGGCAAAGACTAAATTAATAGTTTTAAGTTGTCAGTTTTTCACTGAGGAACTCATTTGTGGGTTTGAAATTTCCTGATCTTTCATAAGTGCAAGCACAAATGAAGTAAACCCACCCTTCCCAGTAAAATAAAAAGAGATTAAAATTATTCATGGGTCAAAGAATATTAGCATAAATGTAGTGAGAGATTCTTTAGTAAAATCCAGAGTTACAGATTATTCAGTATCTCTCACTGCATAACTTTCAGAGAGCTAAACTTCACAGAGCTAAGTTAGTGTTCATTTTGGCCATTTTATTAAGTGCCCAGGTCCTTGGATAATAACGCCTATCAAAGTGATCCTTTGTTTAAGATCTATGAATTAAGATTTGTTTTTAAAAAGACTTAGAACTCATATACTGTAAAATTCACCCATTTAAAGAATGCAACTAAGTGGTTTTTAGGTTGTGCACCCATTACTACTAATTCTAGAAACCTCTCATCACCCCAAGAAGAAACCCTGCACCCATGAACACTATACATCCTTCTTTTTCTCTCCATGCATTCCTAGGCAACCACTGATTTACCTTCTGACTCTAGTAGATTTACCTGCTCTGGGCGTTAAATCCAAACAGAATTACATGATGTCTGTGTCTGACTTCTTTTACTCAACGTAATGTTTTCAAGGTTCATCTATGTTGTAGCCTATGTTAGGACTTGGTTCCTTTTCCTGGCTGAATAATATTTCATTGTTACAATGTGGTTTTAATGTCTGATGAAAGTCACATCATTATTAAAAACTTGATAAAATACAATGTTTAAATAATGGTACTTTAGTTGTATTATTAATACGATAGGAAGCATTTATTACACTTGGCCAGATTCAGGTCTTTTTGAACTTAGTAGAAATGTTAGCAGTGATATTTTTTACTGTTCCTGAATCAAAAATCCTTTGGGTAGGTCTTAAGCAGGCATTCCCAGAGCCAGAAGGAGGGATTTTTTTAACCATAAGTATTTTCTGAACAGCTTGCTACCTTCCCCACAATAAAAGTTGAATTTGAAGCAAAAAAGGTAGGTGTGAGAGAAAGAACATGGAAAAATTATTTGATATATTGCATCCAGATGAGATTCCATGATCCAATTATATAATGTTATATATTCTGTATATATAATGTTTTGACATCAACATTTTATTTTCTTTCTCTTGAGTAATAACTCATACCATGGCAATGTGGAAAATAAAATATATCTTTGTTTTAAAAAAGGATTCATAAATAATAAGTTATCTTTACCACTGAAAGTATTTAGTTACAACATATATTACAACTGATCAGATTTTTCAAACTTGAGTTTACAAATATATAACTTGCCTGTGTCTGCAAATACTGTTTGGTGCTGAGTGATATTGTAGACAGAACTGTGCTGGAGGGTGTCTAGATTAGGATGTGAACACATAATTTTCTCTGGTCCAAAGTCTAGGTCTTTCTATTTTTATTCAAAATAGTATTTGCAACAGTTCTACAAAGGTCAAAACAAAAATGAAATGTGAAATGCTAAGACTGTATTCCATTTTTCACATTTACAAATGAATTTACTGTATATGGAGGAGCCTCTCCTATAAGGTATAGATAGAGACAGAAAGACATACAGACTTAAAGCACACACATACACATCATACATCACACGCACACACACAGATCACACACATAGAGATCGGACATCACCCACATAGCCCACACATACACAGATCACACACATAGCACACATCGTGTACACACACACACACAGATCACACACACAGATCACACACATAGAGATCGGACATCACACACACCCCCCCTAAATACACAGATCACACACATAGCACACATCGTGTACACACACATCACACACACACATAGATCACACACACAGATCACACACATAGAGATTGGACGTCACACACACACCCCACACATATACAGATCACACACATAGCACACATCGTGCACACACACATCAAACATCTTGCACACACACATCACACACACACAACATACACATAGATCACACACACATTACACACCCTACACACACATACCACACAAACACACACGCACCACACACATACTCATCACACATCTCACATGCATACCACACACACATGTCACACACACATCACACACATATACATGCCACACACAAAGCACACACACCACACACATAGATCACACACATCACACACACACACACACACCACACATATACCACACACACACCACATATCACACACACCTCACATGTGCACATACAGAAGTTTGTACTCGTGTTTTCCCCTTCTTCCCAGGCCAGAGTCCACATTACTTAGACCCTTTGGATGGAACCTATGTTGGTGTCCTGGGCTGCCTTGCTCAGTGGTGAAAGTAGAGACCAGTCAGATCTGGCCTCTTGACGTATCTCTTACTGGCCATTTCCTGCAGCACAGTCTTGGAGAGTCAGACCTGCCTTTCCAAACCTCACAGCTGAATATGTGGACTTCCAGACACAGTATATTCCTCGGGATCATTCTATTCATGCGCAGTGCTTTCTGCTGTTACTCTTCACAGAGATGTGTCTTGAACATGTCCAGATCTATCATACTATCCTTCTTTCCTTTTTGACGTCTCATATAAAAGTTCTATAATTAGCCTCCAACTAATAAAAATAAATGGAAAAGAAAAAAAAAAAGTTCTATTCTCTTCCACCCACGTCAATATAATAGAAATCTAACAGTAAACTTTATTCCTAACAAGTTAATTTCTACTTTGAAGCTTATTTCCACAAAGGTGGATGTTCCAATGTGAAGTTCCGGCATTTTTAAGAAAGTCACCACAGAGACAGGAGATGCAAAAAGAATGAGTTAGAGAAGGGATGTGAGCCCCATGGGCATCTTGAGAGTGAGTCTACAAAGAGAAATCACCAGTGTCTCCTAAACACCAGCGATGCTGCAAAGCATCGGCGCACCAGGTCTACAGAGTTTTTTTGTTCAGCTTCATGTGCAGTGTTTAAAAATCATACATTCTTGAAAAGGGATAAAAGAGGAGAGCAAACAAACTTCAGAGCTTTGCAAACTAGTTTAGTCCAAGGTTGACACAGACCAGGTTTTCAGCCTGGAGCATTTTTTAATGATCAAGTTATATAAACTCTTGAAAAACCCTGTCCCCGTGGTAATGGAAACACTGACTTTTCATTTGGGGCTGACTTCACCTTATTCGTGTTATTGTTTCTCTAGCATTTGCAGTTTCGATTACACCATCTGAGCTGTAAACACAAACTCCGCTGTTTTGATATCCCACATTTGACGTTCCGCCTTCTTTTGGCATCCGTAGATGTAAAGTAGCAAAACTTCAAATGAAAAGGCAGAGAGTGCCTGTGCCGTCTGAATGCATCCTCTGTGTGCCAGAGTTTGTCAAATTAAAATGAAGGAACCCAGACATGTCCGGGTTCCCCATCTCACTCAAGTGGTCTTCAGACTCCAAACCACTGAGTGCTCATTTATACGTGTTTAATTTGGTGTTCTAACAACTCCTCTCCCTGTCTAACACTCATATGCCCTCAACCTCGTTATGGCAAAAGCTTCCAGGATCCCTCAGGAATCTGAGCCGTGAGTCTGGTGACAACGGTAGCCTTTATAAATATCCAGCCATTGGAAGTTCTCTCCCCCAAGAGCCCTGTGAACAGCCACTGGCAGCAGTAAAGGTTGTTTCAGACCAGCCCAGTTAGTGCTTGGCGGCTGGCGGGTTTGTTAAAGATGCCATTGTGCAGAAGGGGGACCTGCTGCCCCGCCCCTCCCCCTTCACTTCCAGGTAAGTGAGGAAATCGTGGGGAGGGGGGGTGGCGAGCGGCACCTCTGTAAATTCTCCTCAGACACATGTTGTGCAGCTTACTAAAATATTTTCATTCCATCAAAACTGGACTGTTTCAGTCATGTCCTGCCAGAGCCTGTAGAAGCAGCCTGTCTGCCTCGGTGATGGACCTGCGGGGGTTGGGAAGCAGGGGTGGGGGGGAGATGCAGGTCCCGTCTGGATGATGCAGGGGCTGTGCTGGAGCAGGCTGTTGATTGAAAGAAACGTTTGCTGTCCGGACTGTGAAGGGAAGCTTTGCGGTGATGACAGCTACTCTGAATAGAGCCCCTCCTGTCATTGTATCCCTCTTCTAATTAATGCCTCCTTTCTCCTTGCTACAAATGGGCTGCGGTATCCTTTGCACAGGGCACTCCATGCACATGGTCCCATTCAATTTAGAGCCGACCTGACCATGCAGGCTGGGCCTCA